GCAAGAAAACAACCAAGCTCAGAGAACCCCAAGGACTCCACAGTCCAACCCTGAGCTACATATATTCTCTTCTGTTGGTATTTTGATTTGTTTTTAACTTAGGTCTTGGCTTGTGATAAAAGAAGATGGACATATGGTGACTGCTCGACAAGAGCCTCGGCTAGTGTTGATCTCTGTCACCAGTCAAAATGGCTATTTGACTCTGAGTGCTCCAGAAATGAAGGATTGTAATGTTCCAGTCAGACTGCCGACTAAAAATCCAGTACGGAATTGCAGGTGCTTTCCCTTTTATGTTTTTTCAGCCTCTTGAGCAACAAGAGAAAAGCAAATTGTGTTTAGAAACCATTCAGCATTAAAACTCTTCCCAGTTCTGCCATTCTAAACCAGTCCAGTATCCCCATGATTGCTTCTAGAAGATGCTTAAAGAGATGCTGGTCACACATATCTGGCATCTCGTTTAGTTTGACCCTTACATTAGTCTTGGGTAGCTGACTTTAATAAGCCAGTTTAGGAACTTTGTCCCTTGTTGGCACACCAACCACAGAAGGCAACCAAATGTATTTCAACAACATTTACATATTGACTCAAAGTTCCAGTATAATTACTCCTTTAATATACTTCTCAATTTTAGCACAGATTGCTTAGAGGTATTCACAGCTGATCAACACAGTCTTGTCACTAAGGTAAACATTTAACTAAGATAAAAATCCATGTTCTGATTGGGGCTGTTAGGAATGTGTTCTGCTGTCCTTGCATTCTAGGGAGGCTGTGTACTAAGAGGGTAAGCACAGAAAGGCAACTTAGAACAACAAGGGAAGCAGAATCATCTAATCACACGTATCTATTTTCATCCATTCATACCCTTTTTCCACATAACATTCTTATTCCCATGTTGCCTGGGTGAATGTAATTTATCATTGGAGGGGTAGGTCACAAGACCACTCCTGCCCTTGGGTCTTTATATTTCAGAGGCAGGATGGATGAGCCACCACTGATATCTGAGCAGAACTGCAGTAGATTTTCTGGCATGATGTCTTTCTTTCCCTCCCCACCCAACACAATTTATCATATTCAATTTATGTTTGAATCCTATAAGGGCATAGTTTCCATCCCCTTCTCCCACTCATGTATACGTGCATCATTCATACTAGTAAGAAACTGCTTGTAATGTTACTTTACTTAAAAATTGTTCAGTTAGACGTTACACATGTAGAGAAAAATCAGAGTTATCGTTCTATATTTCCTGTATAATTGTTTCTACTAAAAAGTGGTTAAAATAGAGAGGTCCCTACAGGTGTTACCCAGGTGTAAAAAGAAAAGATGGCCAGTCCCAGTCTCCATCCTTGAAAAGAAAAAGCAATGAGAAGATGCTAGGGATTTGAATGAGGAGCTGAACTG